TCCCGCACATTCCTAAGACTAGGGTGGGGGCATCTGGGGACACGAACGCCACGTGCCGCTCCACCACATACAGGGACTCCCTCCTCCTCGGTCCCGGTTCGAGATCGGGCTCTGACACTCACTAGCTGGGTGACCTGAGGAAGCTACTTAAGTCTGTGAATCTGGGTTTCCTCTTTGTAGCGGGGATATTAACGCAGCCGGTAGCGGGAGACTTCCTGCCTGTCTGGCTCCGCGCTCTGCGCCTAGTGCGGGGCTGCGTGGGAGAGGCGTGGGCGGTGCCCCGGGCGGGGTTGTGGGAGGCGGGGAAACGGCGTCTGCGGGGCCCGCGGGCCTTCGGCGCCCCCTGGCGAGGTCCCCCATCGGTAACTGGAGCTGGGACTGAGCAAATGCTTGAAAACTCTCCTCCATTGGGCTGGTGGAGAGACTGAAGCCCAGGGAGACGCCAGGATCTGTCAGACATCCCCAGCAGGGAAGGTACAAAGTACCGGAGGCCCGGCCCCCGAGAGGAGGAAGCGCCCTCTTTCCTCCCGGGAGAATTCCACTGGGCAGTTTCGGAAATCGCCCCATCCCCTTCCCCTTCCCCCTGGTGGACAATGGAGCTTTGTACTTCCTTCCCTCCCTCCCACAGCCCCCTCCACTCAGGGCGGTGGGGCCTGAGAGGGCGGGGAACGAAGAACGCACAGCAGGGACACTGTGGGTGGACTTTTGTCCCCGGGCCCAAAGGAAGGGGTCATACGAGAGGGTGACCAGTGAGATGAGCTTGCCTATTTCCCCAGCCACTTAGGGGATCTGACAGCGGCTCCCATTTTCCAGATGGGGACACTGAGGCCCTCTGGTGTTGCAGAGATGACCAAATATCCACATCAGTTTTTTTTCAGGGACAAGAACTCCATCTCTGGAGCCCAAGGCACTGGTAAGGGGAACCCAGGAGATAAAGGCCTAGTAATGGCATCTCTGAGCCTCTTTACACTCTGCACAGAGGGGCTGGACCAGCTGTCCTTCCCCCACCCCTAGTCCCCAATCTCCAAGTGTGCTACAGAGGGTTCTGGGCCTGAGGCAAGGCCAGGACTAGGGGTAGGAAGGTGAGCCTCATTCTCCCCCAACCCTGTTTTGATAGGCCCCCCCTTAAGCCCCAGAGCATCTCTAGTCCAGGCTAGTAGTGTCCCCAGTACAGTACCAGGGTCCTCGAGGTACCCACCATAGCAGACAGACCCCAACCATAGAGCTATCTTCAGCCCAGGGCAGGCCCCAGAGTCACAGAGACCTGGGTTCAAATCCTGGCTCAGGTCATTTGACTGTAAGCAAATCACTTTTCCCTGAGCTTCAGTTTCCTCACCTGTAAGTTGAGAGTAATAAAGTGCCTAAGGTTTCTGTGAAGTTAGGACAAGGGGGCCAGTCAGCCCAGGATCTGGCACATGAGTTCTCGGTGAATATTACAGATGCCTCTGGGTATCTTGTCCTCATTTGCCCTACTTCTCTCTCCTCTCCTGACTGGCTGGAACCAAGCAGGGGGGTGATGCTTATGCATCCGAAGGTCTGTGGGGGAGTGGGGGAGCCCAAGTCACTGTCCCCATCCCCCCCTGAGGTGGGGGCCATTGTCCCATCTGGCAAGTGAGAAAGAAAAAGACGCAGAGATGTTAAAGATATGATCCTGACCACCCAGCCAGGACTGGATTGGGGCTGGAGCCAGCTGGGGTGGGGGTCCTGGCTTGAGCCTCAGGGGACCTTCCCATAGCTCCTCAGGAATGTGGAGACTGAAGGTACCCTGGAGGGCTCTATCCCTACTCTCTTACGACTGGGACAGGTGAGCTTGTGGCTAAGCTAGGCCAGCCCACACTCTCTGCTGAAGCCTATCCCCCTCCCCAAGCCCTCTCCCATGGAGCAGGAAGGAATGATGGGGGAGGAGGAAAGGAGCAGAGGGTTGTGGGGAGGTGGGGGCAGAGGAAATCACCTTCCTCTACTCACTCCCAGGTGGCTCAGACCCACACTGGAGGCTTATCTCTGCCATTATCTTCCTGGGGGCCCTGAGCCAGTCCTCTCTCCCTTGAGCCACAGAGGCCCTTTTGGGGGTGGAGGTGTGCCGGGGGCAACAGGATTGGCTGACTCTGCACAGAGAACATGCCCTTTCCTGGACCTGACTAGACCAGCCACCCCCAATTTCCCAGGGAGTGACAGGCTAAGAAGCTAGTGGGAGCACCTGTCCCCCATGGGCGCCCTCTCTAGGCCCCTGGGGGGACCCGAGTGCAGCTGCCATATCTGTCTGGGGGATTGGCCCTCCCAGTATGGGCCCCGGCCCCTTTGCCCCTTCAGTGGTGGCCAGGGCTGGACCAGTGCAGGGAAAACAACAGCCCCCAGCCAGGCAGAGAGCTGTGACTCCTGAGCGCCTGCCTCTGCCTCAGTTTCCCCATCTGTCCAGTGTGGAGGACACTGCCACTCACCAGCAGGGCTGTGGTCCTTTGGGACCATGGGAGTCTCCCTTTCTCACAGCCGGACTCCAGAGGCCTGAATCACCCTCCCCTCCCAGGGACACTGCTTCCCTGAAAGTCGTATATTATGCATTAGGGTCCCCCCTCTTCAGGAGACATGGAGGAACTCAGAGTGTCCACAGAACCTAAGTCTGGTGATTGCTGAGTGACGTTCTTGGAAGCTTACCCCAAAGTAGGTAGACAAGGGTCAAGGGCCCCAGCAGAGGGTGTCTGGGAGGTTGCCACCTACCCAAGCCTATACAGATGGGAAAAGCAAGCAGCAACTTGAACAGGCAGGGTCCAACAAATCCCAACTGTGTGGACAAGGACCTCCTCCTGCCACGACTCCCTGGCTATTGGGGGTTTGATGAAGGCTCTGAGAGTCAGGAGTTGAGTCACAGAAAGGAGTGCCTGGCTTGGCACCTGGCACAGGTGAGTGGTTGCTGGCTGCCCATGCTATGAACTGTAGCACACGGTGGGCTGTCCAGAAGCCCTGGCTGTGTCATCTGTGTTTCCCCAAGGCCAAATTTGGGTGGGCAGGCAGGCACATGACAGGCTTGGGGAGAAGGAGTGGAGACAGACCACTCATTGTGCCTTGGGACGAGCTGTGGGCAGCTGGTGCCCTGCCCTCCACCCTGGCATCCAAAATGACCTGCCCCTCGCCCCCGCCTGCCCCACAGTTGGAAGTCACAGCAGATCTGGCAGAGCGACGGCGCATCCGCTCGGCCATCCGGGAGTTGCAGCGGCAGGAGCTGGAGCGCGAGGAGGAGGCCCTGGCATCCAAGCGCTTCCGTGCCGAGCGGCAGGACAACAAGGAGAACTGGCTGCAGTGAGTGGTGGGGGCTGGACATGCAGGTGGGGCAGGATGTGCCAGGGCTCAGCTCCCGTTGTACAGGCAGGCACGAGCCAGGTGACTGCTCCCCACCTGGGTGGGCAAATGGCAGGACGGGACACATTTGGAGTACACAGGGATGTTTGTGTGCACGAATTACTGGTCACGGTACTCTGGCCACACCCATGTGGACAGCATATCTGGTTGTGTGGCGTGAGCGCTGCTCCATGGGCGTGCACATGTCAGCGTGTAGCCAAAGGGTGTGCACAGCTACATGCCCGTCTGCCAAGGTTCCGGGTACCCTGTCCTGGCCTCCACCCTCAGCCCACATCCTCCATGACCTGCCCCTGGCAGTGGAGCTTATGGTCATGATGTCCCGGCAGCTCTCAGCAGCGGGAGGCAGAGCAGCAGGCTGCTCTGGCACGGCTGGCAGGACGGCTGGAGTCCATGAGTGATGTGGAGGAGCTGACCGCGATGGTGAGGCCCAGGCCAGGCAGGGGCTGGGGGCTGGGGCTGGGCAGGTGAAAGCCTGGACCGCACAGCCCAGTACCTTGCCCTGCCCCTCACACACAGCTGCGAGGTGCTGCTGAGTACGAGGAACGCAAGCTGATCCGAGCCGCCATCCGCCGCATCCGGGCCCAGGAGATTGAGGGTGCGTGCCCTGCCCCGGCCCCACCCCTGCCCTGCTGTATGCTGCCAGCAGCACCGCCTGGCCACTCACCAGACACTCTTCCCTCTCCTTCCAGCTGCCACCTTGGCTGGGAGGTTGTGCGGCGGGCGTCCCAACAGTGGCTCAAGAGAGGACAGCAAGGGGCGGGCAGCACGCAGGCTGGAACGGTGTGAGGTAAGGGGTGCAGGCCAGGTCCTGAGCCAGGGATGCCAGCAGCACAGAGCACCTGTGTGTTTTTGCTAGACTGGGCCTTAACTGAGGGTCCCCCACCTTGTGTCTGGGAGACACTGAGGCTCCATCTCTGGCCCCTGCCCACTCTCCCAGGCAACCTCTGGTCACATGTCCCCACTCTAGAGTTTGTCTCTACCCAGGCCTCCCCTCAAAGCCAGCTTGTCTACACTGCTCCCAGTTTCCTGTCTGTCTCCTATGACACCCTTGTTAACCTCCTTGCTCGCCTTCCCACCTCCACATCTACCTTGCACCCCGACACCAGTCATCCAGCCTCCACTCAGCGGACAGAGGGATCTCCCTGAAATGCAAATCAGACCCTGGAACCTGCCCAGCTTAAATCATCCCAAGGCTTCCCCTCCCCCACCAGACAGCCCACATCCTTACCTTGGCTTATGAGGGCCTGCGTGTCAGGCCCAGGCTGTTCACAGAGTCGACTCTATTCTCCAGGGAGTGTGGGTGAGAGGTCAGGCCATGCAGATTCCCAAAGTGGCCAGCAGAGGCCACTGGATCCCTAGTCCTGGCAGGACTAACCCCAAGCCCCCTGATTAACCAGGCTGAGGCCAGGGGTCAGGGTCCTCCACTCCAGGAATCTAGTAAGTCTGGGAATTCCCAGCAGGTCTCCTGCCATCCTCACCCCCCAGCATTAGGATCCTGTCCTTTCTGAACTGCCCTTGACTAGGCAGTGCCTGGAGGTTGGGAAGTGAGGATCAGAGAACCGCCAGTGTGGTACCAGTGACGTACTTGTGCAGGTGTGCCTGCAGGAAACCATGCCCAGCCCCTCTGCTTTGCATGCCCTGCCCTGGTGCCTGCCAGCCCAGGGAGCCTCGGCCGCATCCTGTGGGTCTCCCGCAGGTGCCGAAGCCAGAGGAACAGGAGAAGCAGGCAGAGGTCCCAGTGCCAACCCCAGCCCCTAGGAGCACCAGCCGGGATGTGACCACAGTGACACTCCTGCTGCGGGCCCCACCTGGGGGCACACCCAGCCCACCTGCCTCACCCGAAAGCTCGCCTACCTCTACTTCTCCCGAGCCTCCACTGGAGCCTGCCAAGGGCCAGTGCCCTGCTGCCGAGGCTCTGGGCAGCCCCGAGCCACCTCCCAGCCCGCCCAGGGCTGCCAGCCCTGAGCCCCAGGAGCCTCCGGCCACCCCCAGCACTGAGAGGCAGGTGGTCAACAAGGTGAGTCTGGATGAGGGGCAGAGATGACAAGCAGGACCGCTCCTGGGTGTGGGAGTCAGGCCCTGCCATGCCATGTCTTCCTGCAGCTCCTGCCTGGCCGCACGGAGCCCCCTGCTGCCCAAGGCCCCGCCAGAGATCCCTCCAACACGAAGAGAGCAGGTGAAGTTTCCAGCAGGGATAGCTGCAGGCATCTGCCTTCCCGGGCCTCCCCTTCCCTTCCTCGAAAATGGGTGCTTGTGCCTAGACAGCTCCAGTCCCCGAAGGTCCCGGCCATCTCTGACACTCCTCCCACTGCCCCTGAGGTGTCCCCGCCCCCGGCCTGGCCCACTCCCCCACCCATGGCCAGAGGCCTCCCCGCAGCCTTGAAAGGCAACAGGCCTCAGGCACATTCTTTTCCCCAATAAGGGAGTGCGCCCATCTCCCAGCTGGAGCCGCATGGGCAGTGCTGTCCGGGGGTGTCCCCTGTCCCCATCAGCAGGGAGGATCTGGGCACCCTTCCTCCAGCCCAGGCCTAGCCCCAGCCCCCAGGAGTGTCCAAGTCATCTTGGGGTCAGTGTGGGAGCTAGGGGGAGGGGCCTGTAAGAGATGCAGCTGAGCGGGAGGCTGGGAGCTGTAAGAGGTGCAGGAAGGGCCTGGGAGGCTGAGGAGGTACGGAAGAGAGGACTATGAGAGGTGGACCCCACCATCCACTCTCCTTTCTCTGCCCCTACATGGCTGCCACCGCCTCCCCCTGCTGCCAGACCTGGCTGGACCCCACCTCTGCCAAAGCTCCCTGTCTGTGCTCAGCCCCCGCCAGCCAGTCCAGAACCGAGGTACTGCCCGTTCCCACAGCCTCAGGTGCTGGGCAGTCCCTGTCACATCAACCACTGACAGGTCTCCTGTCCCTTCTAGAGCCCACCCCTCTTGCCAGCGGACCTTCCCGTTTCCAGCGAGCTGGCTCCATACGGGACCGCGTGCGCAAGTTCACATCTGATTCTCCTATGGCTGCTGGGCTCCAGGAAGGCCCAGCCCGGGCAGCCCTAGGTCCCTCGACCCCGGCAAGGCTCTCAGGCCCCTCCCACATCAGCACCACCCTTGCCTCCTCCTCCAGTGGCCCCTCCTCACGGGGCCCCAGTGACACCTCCTCCCGGTTCAACAAGGAGCAGCAAGGAACAGCCCGGCCCCTGGCCCAGCTTCAGAGCTGCCCCCAGGAGGAGGGCCCTGGGGGGCGGGGTTTGGCTGCCAGGCCCCTTGAAAACAGAGCCGGGGGGGCCGTGGCCCGCTCAGAGGAGCCCAGTGCCCCGCTGCCCGTGGCCGTGGGCACTGCTGAGCCAGGGGCCAGTATGAAGACCACATTCACCATTGAGATCAAGGATGGCCGGGGCCAGGCCTCCACGGGCCGGGTGCTGCTGCCCACAGGCAACCAAAGGGCAGGTAGGCCTCCCTGCTCCCCATTGCTGGGGACCAGTGCCTGCAGCTGCCAACCTCTGCACATAGGACAAGTGCTGCGGCCGGGACTCAGGGTGTCTCCAGGGGGTACGCTGGGAGCAAGGGGTGCTGTCAACCTGGGCTTGCATGGCCCTCACCCCACCTGATCCTGACAGTCATCCTTCTCCACCTCCAGAACTGACGCTGGGGCTGCGGGCGCCCCCCACCCTCCTGAGCACCAGCAGTGGGGGCAAGAGCACCATCACCCATATCAGCAGTCCTGGGACCCTGGCCCGGCTGGGCAGTGTCACTCACGTCACCAGCTTTAGCCATGCTGCCCCTGGTAACCGAGGAGGCTACAGCGTCAAGGTGAGCCCTCCCTCACCCACCAGCTTCACCCTTGCCAACCTCACAGAGACCGTTTCAGGCTGTCGGGCTAGCAGGGCTCCTCTGTCTGCCCTTCCCCTGCTGCACACCTGAGGAGACGGAGGCCAGAGGGAGAAGGTGGCTGCCCACAGTCCACAGATAGTTGGTAGCAGAGCTAAGGTCAGACCCTCACCCATCAGCCACTGGATGTGTCCTAAGCTCACTCTGTACCAGCTTTAAGCTTCCCACATGCTGATCTCCAGTCCTTACTCCAAAATTGGTTGGTTCATTCCTTGTGAACAGATGAGAAAACTGAGGCTCCGAGAGGGTGGTAAGGGCTTGCCCACCCTTCCTGTGGCAGCCCCAGTGCCCCTGCGCCTACCCCATCCTGGACCTTGGCTTCAAGGTGCAGAGCCGCTCTTCTGCTCATCCAAGATCAGCCCGGCCTGTTAGGAGATTGGAGATTAGCGATTACCATCTGCGTCAACATCTTGGGGGGAGGTGGGAGAAGCATTGATGAGGGGACAAGCAGGAGGTGTCAGTCAGGTGAGGCAGCAGCCCAGCAGGTGCCACGGGAACTGAATACATCACACCCTTCCATTATTCATTCTGGAGCCCGGGATCAGCTGGCTGGGAGCTCAGCAGGGGAAGGGATCCCCAGCGGGCTGCCCAGCTGCACAGGTAATGCCCTCTGCGGTGCACCAGGGACTGAATGGGACTTTAGCCGAGGTGAGATGGTTAGAGCCAGCTTTGGGCCTTCTCAGGGGTGACAGGGAGAGGGTGGGAGCAAGAAAGCACCCTTCCCCTCCCAGAGCAGGACCTAACTGCTCTCTGCCAAGGGAATGAGGAGAGGACAGCTGAGGCCCTTGCAGTGGATGGGAGGTGCCACAGTGAGCCTGGGTCCAATACCACCAGCTTGCCCCAGCTTCTTCATCTAGAACCAAGGGGAGGCAGACCCTGTGCCCAGAATGCACTTGTTCGAAGTCTGCGGTTGACCTGAGCACCAGAGGCAGGCAGAGGACATTTATCTCAAGGACAAGACACTTGTTACAGCAGACTGCTCAAAGTCCCACCTCTCTGTGCCTCCATGTCCCCTATCTGTTCAAGGCTTTCTGAAACAGCATGGCATGAGGGCAAACAGTGCAGGCTTGGTGTATGACAGATTGGATCCTCCCAGCTTACGTACATAGTGGCCCAGACGGACCCATTCCTTGCTCCTTGCCTCAGGCATGGGGCCCTGGCCTCAGTGATCAGAACCTCTACAGACTTGCTGCACTGCTGGTCTGTGGTCTCTGCAGGGCCAAGGCCAGGCCTGGCGGTCAGCCTGCTGGGGCAGGCCACCCCTCCCCCACTCCCCCCTCTAGAGGGAGCCCAGAATAGGTTTCTATTTGGGCTACAGCCCCAGCTGGCGGGTGGCGGGCTGGGAGGCCAGCAGGGGCGGGGCAGGCCCACTGCCCTTGCCTTCGCCCTCAGGCCAGCTGCAAAGACTCTGACACTGCCAGCCAGAAGCAGCAGTCCCTACCACTGTCCCCATCGTCACCCCACCATAGAGCCCCTGCCTGCACCATGCCGGGGGTACCAGGGCCTGGGTCTGAGCTGGCCGCAGCCCTGGAGGAGCGATTGGGCCAGGCGTTGGAGGAGCTGCGGGCAGTGGCTGAGGCAGGCCGGGCAGCAGTGACCCAGGCAGCAGGGGCAGCTGCCTCGGCCGTGGAGCCAGTGGCCCGGGCAGCTGAAGAGCTGCGGGCGGAGACAGCAGCACTGAGCCGGCGGCTGGATGCACTGGGCAGGCAGGTGGAGGTGCTGAGCCTGCGTCTGGGGGTCCCACTCGTGCCTGACCTTGAGCCTGAGCTGGAGCCTAGTGAACTGCTCCTGGCTGCTGCTGACCCCGAGGCCCTCTTCCAGGCGGCCGAGGATGCTGGGACCCCCGTGGCCCACCCGCCTGCCTTCAGCACCCGCCGCCGCTCCTCTGCCGGCCCAGCCCGCAGCAGCAGTCTCGTAAGTCCTGATGGGTTATGGGGAGAGGGGTGGTTTTCAGACAGGTTCTACCTCGGCTGAGTGACCTTAGGTGTGCCACCACCTTCTCTGATCCTCAGTTTACCTATGTGTAAAGGGGACTGGGGAGCTAGTGCTCCAAGACTGAGGCGAGATGGTGCCAGGCTCCTGGCCCTGAGACACGCGTGGCGGCTGCCCTGGCAGCCCCTGGCCAGGGCCCAGCCCCCACCCCCTGCCCCAGCCAGGCCAAGCCTCCCCGAAGCAGCTGCCACCTCGGCTCTCCTTTCCCTTATAGCAGGCAGAGGGGCCCTGCCAGGAGGGGAGGGGCTGTGATAGTGGGGCCGGGGGCTTGTCTGCAAGGGGCTGGGGAGATGCCCTGGGAGGGGTGGGGGGCTAGGTTGAAGCTAGAGGCCCCTTAGAGGGTGGTTCACAGTTGGGGGTGGGGAGCAGGGGTAAGCTTCAGAGAGGACTTGGCTCTGGGCAGCCCCAGTCAGACACCTGGTCAGGAGCCTGTGGGCCCTGGTCCAGCCCCCTTGGTGTGTTGGGAGGGGGGCATGTGCTGCCTGGGCACTGGCCCAGGAGGACCCAGGCTTTGGAAACAGGCAGGCCAGAGCACAGCCTGCCTGGAGGGGGCTGGGAATGAAGCAGCAGAAAGAACTCGGGTTCAGGAGCCAGGCCCCCTTCACCTCAGACCCCAGGCTGCAACACACTTATGGAAGGACTGTGGGCAAGTCATGCAGTAACCCTGAGCCTCAGTTTTCCCTTCTGTTAAATAGGGACAGAAAATTCCTAGTGCTCATACAGTGCTTACTACTGAATGGAAATCACTGTCATTGCCACTATTAATTGTATTAAGACAATTTTAAGACACGGGAGGCCCTACAACAAGGCTCTCAGTGCCACTTTCCTGAGCCGTCACCCACATGGCTGTCCTTGGTTAGGCAGTCTGATTGGCTAGTGGTATATCAAAGGCTGTGTCAGAAGCCCCAGGGTCTGGTCTCCTGTCCTTTGGGGGCATGGTTGGTTTTATCTACACCCCTGCTTAAAGTCCATGCTGTCTCCCCTCCCCGCAGATGGAGCCAGAGCCTGCAGAAACCCCATCTGCAGCAGTGGAGGTGGCCAATGGCACCCAGCAGACCCGAGTGGACAAGGCACCAGAGAGGCGAAGCCCACTGAGTGCTGAGGAGCTGATGGCCATTGAAGATGAGGGTGTCCTGGACAAGATGGTATGGCCTGATCTGGTGGATGGGGGATTGGCAGGGAGCTAGGCCAGCAGGCACCAGGTGGGCAATGACAGGGGCTCTATCCGCAGCTGGACCAGACTACAGACTTTGAGGAGCGGAAGCTCATCCGGGCTGCGCTGCGTGAGCTCCGACAAAGGAAGAGAGGTAGAGCGCCTGTTGCCCCAACCCTAGATCCAGCTCCCCACTCACTGGGGTCCGTTTGTGGATGCTCCAACTCAGTAACTGCCCTACCCAGTGTCTCCTTCTCTCCACTCGGCTCTTCCCTTCCCTCCTTCCCCCTGGATCCAGCTGCTCCCTTCCCTGGCTGCTTCTCTCCCGCTAACGAGAACCAGAGCCAGTTTCTCTTCTCTTTCCTAGACCCGGTTACCCTCTCCCCCAGCTACTCCTCCTTGGATCCAGTTGCTTCTCCAAGTACTGCCAAGGACTCCTTCCCTGAATCCAGATACTCCCTCTCCCAGCTGCTTCTCTCTCCGTGGGGTCCATAGATGGCCACCTTAGCCTCTGCCTCCTACCCGCTTCCCCTTCCCTGGACCCAGCTATTCTTTCTTTCAGTTTCTCAATTCACTTGCTTCTCCAGACACTCTCAGTTCCTCCCTCTCTCGAACTAGCTGCTTCCTCCAGGGCCTGCTGTTGCCACCCAGCCTCCACGCCCACCCACCTGTTTCTTCTTTAGGCCCAGTTACCCGCTTTGCCAGCTTCTCTCCCAGCTACCCTTTCCCTGGATCAAATTGCTTCTCAGATACCTCCAATTACTCCGTCCCTGGATCTAGACATATCTTGCTTCAGCTGCTCTTCTTCCCACCAAGACCCATTTGAAGGTCCGCTCCACTACTGCCCTCACTCAGCTTCTTCTTCCCTGGACTCTGCTACTCCCTCCCTGGATCAAGATACTCCCTCTAGATTCAGATACTCATCCCCACAGAAACTCCCTTCTTGGATCCAAATATTCTCCCTCTGAGTTCAGCTATTCCATATCCTCTCCTTTCTGAGTCCACACCCCCATTCCCTGCCAAGTTATGGCTATCCCCTCACCCTCAGCTACTCCTAAAGAGGGTGCTTGTTCCCTGTGTCTTCAGTGTTGCTAACCAGTTCCCCTCCATCCCATCTTATGTGTCCCGTATGCCCGTGCATATGTGCTGTGTGGGTGATGGTGGCCCTTCTGGGCATGCATGGGGCATTCCCTGCCCAGACCAGCGGGACAAGGAACGGGAACGGCGGCTGCAAGAGGCACGGGCCCGGCCCGGGGAGGGCCGTGGCAACACGGCCACCAAGACCACCACACGGCACAGCCAGCAGACAGCCGATGGCTCAGCTGTCAGCACTGTTACCAAGACCGAGCGGCTCGTCCACTCCAGTAAGGGGCCAAGCAGGCTCAGGGCTCAGGGTGGGAAAACGTCCACCTCACTGGCCCCATGCCTCTCACACTCTTCCTCTCGTCCCCTGCCCCTGCAGATGATGGCACACGGACGGCCCGCACCACCACGGTGGAGTCGAGTTTTGTGAGGCGCTCGGAGAGTAAGGCCGCCCGGCATCTGCCTGTGCCTGCTTGCCTGCCTGTCCGCCTCCTCAGGCTCTTCCTCAAACTCTCTCTCCGAACCATTTTCATCTTTGTGTCTCTGTACAGCCGTCACTTTCTCTTCTCTGCCTGCGACTACCACCATCCCTCCACCAGCCTCCTGCCCCATCTCCCACATCAAGCCCAGCACCTCACCCCACTCTCCCTCCTCTGTCTTGCAGATGGTGGTGGCAGCACCATGATGCAAACCAAGACCTTCTCCTCTTCATCATCCAAGAAGATGGGCAGGTGAGCACAGGAACCCACTCCCAGACCACAGAGGAGTCAGTGCCACAGGGGAGCTCACTGCACGCCCATTCTACAGAGGGGCAGACCAGGTGCTGGGAGGTGAGGGTGTACGGTCAGGGAGGGGCAGAGTGGGAGGCAGACCACTCCTACTCCCCTTGTGATTTCACCTAATCCTCAGCTGCACCATGGGGGAGGCCAGAGATTTGCTCAGGGTCTTAGAGGGGCCTCCCCACTACACTGAGCTGCGTGCTGGCCCTGCCACTTCCCAGTGTCTGCAGACCACATCCCATGTCACAGAGCACCCTTACACTTTAGCCCCATGAGGGTGGGGTGCACCCTATGTTACCGAGGATGTTGGGGCAGAATTCAGGATAGGAGCCAGAGGGGTCCAGGGACTCTGAGTCAGAGACCTATGTTCAAGCTCTTGTGCTGCCCTCCATGCCCTCTGAAATTTGAGGCCCTGTTTCCTCATCTTTAGTGGAGCTGGTAAGGATCCCTCCATCCTCTTATGAAATTTAAAATGACACATAAAAAAGGCTCAGTAGACATGAGGTATTATTATCATGAATGTTACCACGTTGGTTGTCATTATTAGTTGGTAGTGCCCAGAATATGAACTC